CAACCGGGTGCCGAAACCATAGTACGGCAGAGGTTTAGATGGGTCTCGAGCCCTACCAAGGCGGTTAGTGTGTCCACCCCTCACTGCCAATTGAGACTGCAGTGCTTGCATTTCAGGGCGCTGATCAAGGTATTTGAATTGAGCCGCTGAGCTTCTAGGCGCCGTGAGACTAGGTCCTTTTAACGACAGTTACGATATATCTCACATACAGTATATAAGCCGTTGGTGGATTGCTTACTGCGTGCAGTGTATTGTAGATAATGGACCGAAATCCAGAAGGCATTGCCAGATAAGTGAACTCCGAACCAGAGACCTGAGATAGTAGCATAAATATTCACCAAACCATTGAGCCGCGAATCAGCTGTATGCCAAGAGATGTGCAAGGTAGTTACTCGATATTCGAACAACTGGCCTTCATTCCCAATCAGATGGCAGAAAAGTGTTGGATAATCAAACCATAAGGATAAAAGATTTCATTGAAAAAAAAACAGCGGAAAACATAAAAATAATTTAATAAGGTGGTATGACTACTCTGAATTACTTTCCAGTCGGGTAGCTGCAAACTATGCAAACTATTTTTTTCAATACATAGTAAATTATTTACTTCCGTTGGGAAATGCGCTAAACTTTTGAGCTCAAAATTTCCAATTCAGCTGAGCACGAAATACTAAAATATACTCCCTGATGAATCTATTAAAAGTCACTGCGGACTAATTATAAGTCGCACTGCTGATTCACTTGCCGCAGCCAGAGAGAGCATAGCAGTAACGCTGATATTGAGCTGAGCTGGATTAGCGCATGTCGAGAAGGCACACATTTTTGTTTAAAACTTTCTTATTTAACTTTTGATGCCACTAGTTTCAAGCCCCCTGCATTACTGGTGGATAGTTAGTCTGGCTGACTGGTTCGGTTTAACTGCGGCATCCTTTTAACGCTGCGCTTCCTTGCAGCTTACATTCACATCTGCGGTATTTGCTTGCAAACAGCTGAACGGTTTTTTTTTTGTGTGTTTTTTTATTATGTTTACGGATTAAAACTTTTGCTTCTAATTAAATTTTTACATAGCAGATATTAAACAAGTTCGTTTATTTGCCCACAATGGATTAAATAATGAAAACGATGGAAAATTATTAACAACACTGTGTACGTACTTTGGCAGTTACATATATACATACTGTATATACATGCAAGGCTGGTAAGGGAAGTGTGAAATTTATTTTATGACGCAAAGTTTAGTGAACGCACGAAATGTGGTTTAGTTTCCTACCAACTGGGATACGTACTCCACAGACTAGGCGGTGGTTAAATAACGACTGCCTTTTGTGCCACTTAGCACAAAGCTTATCCACCTCGTTCACCCCTGAGCCATACTTCTGCTGCATTGTGGAATAAAGAGCTTCAGAAGCTGAGGAAATTTCATAACCAGGCCCCCAAAAGTAATATTTAGATAGACTGGGAACGCTATCGTAGCACACAGAGATAGTCCAAGAAGTTAGTTCAAGCTTCGGAAAGAGCTCCCTTTACTGAGTACTGCAGAGATATTTAAACCTTGAGTCAACTGGCCGAGGCTGGTAAAAGTGCTAAAAAAGAACAACCAAACCGCAAAAATGGGTTCACTCAAGAGGCCTGATAGTTCGTTAAGGAGACAAAGATTGAGACCCTTTCTGTATTACTGCATACTCACTTACAAATCCGTCTATGCTTCCACATGCCCTCCATCATCTGGAACTCGAACTGTGGCAAATGAAGATGCCATAAGTAATGCAATTGGAACCTTTAACAGCTTCAAATAGCCTTTTTCGGTTTGTTTCTTACCTACTTTACTCAGAGACGGCATTGAGCTCCTGTTAGCGACCTCGAGAAAGACTTTCACTGCGTAGATATCACTTGCTTATATTCCACAACCATGGAGACTAAATGATATCGCCATCATCTGTAAGATTGGTAAGAATGACTACATAGATCCCAAAAGTTTTCATACCTCTTTCAGGCTTAAATGTCTGGAAAGACTAAGTAAGCTTCATATTCTAAGGGGGGTGTTTTTCAGCAACCCTTTGCCTTCGCAGCAACCTGCCCATCAAGCGGAAAAATCTTATGAAACGGCTCTGCAAAATGTGGTTTCCATAATGTGACCAACTATTTCATAGCTCAAAGAAGTACAGGTTAGGTTGGGTTAAGTTAACGCCGCGGGTCGATTACAAAATTTTGAATGAGGCTGATTTCGATCCCTGAGAGCTGAGTGTTTGTTCAGAAGTGCGAGCCAAAATGCTTCCATCTTAGCCTCGCGAAGGTTGGAGTGTGGAGATGATTCCACTTCATCTTTCTCTTGACAGCGGGTAAAACAATGACCAGTTGAAATTCCTAGTCTCTCCGCATGAATACCAATCGCACAATGGCCTGTCAGAACCCCCATCACTACCTCTTGAGAAGTAGCGTGTTTTAAAGTGCCCTATAAAAGCATTTTCTGCAGCAGAGAGGCCTTCTTTTCCTTTTTTATGTCACAAAAGGACCCAGTTTCCCTTAGCCCAGTATCAGATCGTGCTGCGACAGTTCTGTCTGCAATATCCGTAGGCGCTGTGTACATACATATGTTATGTTAAGCGCCAGTGTAGGTGTGGTTCCTAATGCTCCGCTAATTCCTATTTTACAAGTGTAGCCTTCTCTAGTGAGTTCCATCAGACAAGGGCTCCTTGAAACAATATAGGCTTAAATCTGGTTTCCTAGAGCTAATGAATTAATTTCGGCGAGAGACCTCACCTTTTACCAATAGCTCCCCTAGAACTGTACAAGGCAATCGACACCTTCCTTACCCTTTCCTCAATGTTAGGCTTCCACAACAGCCGCCGCTGATCGCCCACCTAGTTACTTGGTTCAGGTAACCTTGAGCCAGATCAAAAGGGGTGTCGTCCCTTAACCAAAAGTTCCACATCATCTACATAGGCGATCACCCGACAGCCTACCCTCTGGAGTGACATTGTTGAAGGCCCCCTCAATATAGCAGAAGGCCCCTACTGCATAATATTTATGCATTAAGGGTTCCTCTGACCACTTTACCAATGTGTGGAGGGCGGTAGTCACCGACCTTTTCTTGCAATAAGCGTATTAAGCTCTTGATAGTAACGAGGGATCGCGTTTCTTATGTACAGTCTCTCTAGCATTTTCAGCAAAAACGAAGAGACACTGATAAGCCTAAAATACCTTTCCGGCCTTCGGGATGAACGCAACACTTACTACCCTCCAAGCCTTGGGTATGTACCCGGTCCTCACGCAGTTCGTATAAATAGGATCCAACCAATTGCACAACACCTTCAGAGCCCTTCGGAGTTGCGCAGGTATGATGCCATCGGTTCCCGGTGACTTTAGTGGTGTGAACGAATTTATCGCCCAGGCTATGTGATGGTCGTCCAGTAGACCGAATCGCTATCGCTTTTTGACGCAAAATCATTTATATCATGCATCAGAAAGTGCGATATCGTTCCGAAAATTGTTGCTAACTGGTTACAAAATCTTCCTGAAGTACAAAATATCGCAAGGAAGTGCATTTGACTGTACTTCGAAGTACGAAGTACAAGAGTGAAAAAAGAAGTACGGTTGGTCACATTAGGTTTCCATAATAAGCAATGCCATCACTAAGGAAGAATTCGCCTTGGGCATGGTGGAAGGTATTGAATAGTACTTGCTAATGCCACCTTCTGTATGAAACTCGTACTGGTAAATTGAATGTATTCACTGGGTCATTAAGCTTATGCGAACAATGTGGCCTCTCTGCGCCACGCTGATTCTTCGTCTGGAAAAAGATGTAACTATCTTCCTCGCCGAGGTTTCGGTATTTTGAGCATTAGTGTCGACCATAACATCAAGGTAAAAAATATATTCTAAGGTTGGTGGCTTCGTCAATGATCATTTTTTTGCCGCGGTTCCCGGTCATAGGCTCGTCGAAGCCTAAGATGGAGCTAATGAACTGGCGAAGGCACAAGCCTGTTTGGACAAATTTGAAGCGGTAACACTGGGATGCCCTGCTAAAAAAGTCCAAAGAGAAATTAATCTGCATTGCCTTGGATTGGCTAGAAACAGGCAATGAGATATACAGGCTTGTAAAATATCTAGGGAACTCTGACCTAACTATAACACGGCGAAACCGTTAGATCTGCTGAATAGACTAAAGGACTACTGCCCGAATAGTAGCAAGCATGCAGTTATAACAAGACTTTCGTATAATAGTTCCGCAGCTGTCAGCTAGATGATAGTAAAGAAATTGACCACCATTTTATGTGTGAGTGACCAGATATTGCGAATATTAGGTATAAAGCTCCAGTTTCTCACTACTCCTGGATCTATCAACAACTACTTTAAGCGAAGTCGATACAAGGCATTTCAGATACATATGCGTAGCATTCTTCAGGTAAGAAAAGAGGTTGGGATAGCGATGAACGAGGACGAGGCGAAGTACAACCTGGCAAGACATAAAAAGTGTTCGTGTTTTAGGACACACTTAACTGTTGGCCCAAACCGACGAAAAGTTGTAAAGTCAGACAAGCAGAAGAAGATACCAATGGTTATGATTTTATTTTATTTACCAAGCAGAAATACACTCAAAGTTTACGACTTCTGTAGAAAAAACTTAGATGTTGCTCTGGCAAAGGATTAAATCGAACACTTAAAACCCCAAATCCCGGTACATAAATAAATAATCCGAGTGATTAGTGGAGCCAAAAAAGCAAACTCTGGTGTCACTCTGACCCTTGGAATCATCACAGGTATACCGCCTGTTGCCATCCTTATTGACTGGCAAACCTAAGTAGAACAAAAGGTGGACATCTCTTATTATCTGATTGTCATATTCACAGTGACAGTGCTACCGAAGTTAAGCTTAATCAAATTTTACAAGAATCCTGAAAGGGGCCCTTGTATTGCGCAAGAAATCAACACGATCATGGAGTTATCCCATGTTTGGTATACTGGTGGATCCAGACTTGAAGATGGAAACACTATAATATTTATTATTAAAGACTACTTTTGTGTCACATCCGATTTTCAAGGCTGTTCTTTACTTGCTGCCACCACAATGCCGTCATAACATCCTTGCGTTCTCTTTGTTATCATTTTAGATCATTATTAAAATATAAATCCTTTTTCTGTTTTTAGTTCTGCATTCTATAATATATTTAATTGTATGTATATACATATACTATGAGAATAAATATATATATGTATGTATTGTTTTCTATGTATATGTATTGCATTATACATATTTTGTCTTTAGTTGAATTCGGTAAGTGTCTAACAATTTGGTGGATTTGTTTTTGTTTGATGTTTTATTTTCTCTTGTTATTCCAGTTAATACAATTGCTGATTTAATTCGTCTTATTACTTGATGCTACAGTCTCTCTCACTACGCTCTGTCACTCCATAGTACTCGTGTTTTAAGCATATTTAACTTGGTAAACTTATTTTGTTTCTTCTCTTTCGTTTATCTGCCATTTTTAGTTATACGCTTACTTTTAGATATCAATATAAGTATAGATAAGTATAAAAAATTGGTACATAACGCACAATATGTATGCTAGCAAAAAAAGTAAACACTGTCAGTAACGTAATATGACAGCTTCATTACGAATTGAGTGACAATTGTGGATGTAGATGATGTGAAGTTGCAACCATACACCTAACACACATTCATACACATGAATGTATGCACGTCCGTGAATGTTAGCCATGTTATGAGCACATTTAAGGAAATATTGATTGGTATAAGGTAGATAGCGTTTCAAAGTGGCGCTGAAATGTATGATTACAAACTGCTAACCTGCTAACTGATAACATATCAAACCTACTACTTAGAGCATAAAAATTACCATTTTAAAGTAAGTGTATTAGGTAACATAAGATTAAGAGTAATTATGACAATATAAAACTAATGAAAAGTAAGTGCTAATAAACTATTGATTGTTGGATTGTTTTTAAGTTGACAAGTTGCAATTCATGCAACGCTGGATTTTGTAGACTTTTTTGCTTGCACTTCTGGTGTGTTATTAATTATAAAGCCGGTTGTTTCTTTTCGTCAATGCACACGCACACTAAAATATGTATGGTAAGACCGTTACTGATAATGTTCAAATTATTTCTAATGATTTTTTTTTTTTTTCGGAATGAATGGCTGTTTGTTTTGTTGTGTTGTTGATTTTGCTGCAATGATTTATTCGGATCATGGATAAAAAATTTAAAATAATATTTTATCCCCTAACTGTAATCTAAATGCGAATGACGAAATGTAGTGCTTGTGCGTGCGTGTGCCACATGAAGTATTACGCGCAACTAATCTGGTACTGGATTTATTTCATAAATTTCCAAGCGATTAATAAAAACTTAATTTAATTGCTGACTAACTGTTCAGTTTGTGTTGTATTCTCTTTATATACCGGCGTCTGTCTATTACTATCAACTTATTGCAATGAAAATGATTAGTATGGTTGATGTCTGGGCTGGCGTCCTGTCCCCCTTCGCTTGCCCGAAGGAAAGCCGCCGGCACCGTATCCATAGTCGTAGCCATTGTAATAGCCACCGCTGTAGTAGTCCCCATATCCAGGATCATAACCACCAGCATAACCGCCATATGGGGCATAACCGCCTTGACCAGGCCATTGTGGATATCCACCACGTCCAAAGCCGCCGCGTCCACCACGCATACCACCGCGACCACCACCACGCATAGCCATCATTTGGTTTTCGGGTTTGGGTGTCGCACGCTTGACATCTACTTCCTTGCCAGAAATTTTCTGCTTAGGGGTCTTCAACAATTCATTTACGACCTGTTCAGAGTCGAATGTGATGAAACAATATGCACGTGCACCCAACTATACCTGTCTGCCTAACCCATCGACAGCCCAATTTCCGGTAACTTTGCGATGACCACGGACTCTAACTAAATCACAGTGGACACCGTGGAGTCATAGGCAATGAAGTGGCAGATACTCATGCTGAAAAAGGCGCTGCACAGAGATCCATAGGCCCAGGATCTTTTACAGGGCTGCCATGAAACTCCGTTAATCGAAACTACTGTATCTGGAAGCAGAACGAAGCGCAGCATTACTCGACTAATGTGGAAGCGAACAGATAGGCTTCAGTCCTTCATTTCAGATATATTAACAAGAATAACCGAAGAACTCCTTCACCTCCGTAGGCAGGAACAAGAATTTTTACAGCTTTTCTTACTGTCCACTTAACTCTGATTGAATGTAGGTTGTGCTTCCTAGGATCACCATACCCGTGTGCTACGAGGGAAATGGCATTCAGCCAAAGGACCTCGCTAGGTTCCTTAGCAACTCTTGGCTCAAAGAAGGCATGTAGTTGTATAGAGATTTGTTACAACAGATAGTTTGCTCCCTCTTCTAAATCCAATCTAATCTACATACATTCATTCATTCTGCACTTTTTAATCGGCTTCGAGTTTTTTTGTGAAAGATGCTAGAGCCGACAAACTTGCTTGACGTTTTAAAAGACCACAACCCTCAGCGATAGCAAGCATTTCTGCATGGAAAACACTAGCAAGCGGCATCTTATCAGTGTTGTCTTGGACGGAAATCGAGCTAGCGCTATGTCCGATCGCTCATTTTCTCCAGTTTTACAGCTGACGCTGACGCGATATACATTACTTAAAGTTCTATGTTTAGGAAATAGGTCGGCAATTACATTCAAAGTATCCATAGGCACAAGCTTCGCTCTGAGCACTGCCTAGTCTTACATGACTAAGCCATATAACTTTTAATAATGACTATACCATTGCTCTGTGAAGGCCGTCTCAGAAGAAAAATCTTATCTCTTTAGATTACTTTTTCTTCTATCGATGCCAAGTCGAGAATTAATTTTCCATCCATCACTTTCTTATAAAATTTATTTGCACAACTTGAAGTAAACAATTTTCCACTTAAAACTCGTTGATATTCATTTAGACAATAAAATAGTTGCATTGTAAATTAAATGCACTCTCAAACAACAACAACGGTAATAAAAAAATAGCACTTTACACTTGGAACGAAGAACATTAAAAAGCCATTAAATGTAAGTAGTGAAAGAAAAGACAGGACATAAGACAAAAGGTCAAAGTTGTGCTTGGAAGTGGGCGAGTAGTGAAGTGTGTACTTACTTAAATAGCGAATAACTATCAATTAAGAATAAATATATAATATTTGTAGGTGAATTATAAAAAAATACGCTTGAAAGGCAAAGAATGAATTAAATATGTATCTAGGTGCGAAATATACATAGTTCTACTGTAAATTTTTTTTTAGCTATAATTTTCAAGGCCACTGTAATGTAAATATTACCAGGCGTTTGAGATTTTGTCATTCAGAAATTTTTCGATATACCAATGCTCGTCCTGTGCTATCTTTGTACGTATGTATGTGTTATATCGAAACCTTTATTTATCGACGATGTTAAAACTGAATCTATCGATAAATTTCCCTGCAGAGTTATTTGATATAGTTATTACTGCTGTACATATCGATAACTGCAACGATAAATGCTGGTAGATAACGATAACTTTATCGAAAGCGATAATTTTTGCGACAAAAAAAAAAATATATCTATATTAATAAAAATGTTGTCTTCGTATGTCACGGTCGTCAAAACTCGAGAACGGCTGAACCGATTTGAATAATTTTTTTTTGTATTGTTGGGTATAATTCCAGAATCAATGATATCGTAAAAAATTGGAGGGTTGCCACCTATTTGAAAATTTTTAAACCCAATTATATTGATAATATAAATAAATTGTTACAATATGGGTATCAAATTAAAGAGTGTTTAGAAAGATAACTGCTGGAAATATTTTTGACGAGGGTTGCCACCTATTTAAAAATTTTAACTCAGACAAATTGGTAAAATAAATGAATTATTGCCATGTGGGTGTACAACTATAGAGTTTCAAGAAGGCGTACAGCCGAAAATATGTTTGAAGAGTGTTGCCACCTGTTTGAAAATTTAACTAAAGTACATCGATAAAATAAATGAAATATTACATTATGGGTATCAAATTAAAGAGGTTTAGAAAGATATCTGTTGGACATATTTTGGAAGGGTTGCCACCAATTTTTAAATTTTAACTCAGTTAAATTGATAAAGTAAATTAAATATTGCTATGAGGATATCAAACTAAAGAATTTTAAGAAGGCTTCTTTCTTCTTTCTTTTTTTGGCGCTGTAACCGCCTAAGCGATTTTGGCCGAGTTCAGCAAAGCACGCCAGTCGTTTCTCCTCTGTGCCAACTGACGCCAATTGGAAACACCAAGTGAAGCCAAGTCCTTCTCCACCTGATCTTTCCATCGCAGTGGGGGCCTCCCTCTTCCTCTGCTACCACCAGCGGGTTCCGAGTTGAATACTTTCAGAGCTGGAGCGTCGGTGTCCATTCGAACGACATGGCCAAGCCAGCGGAGCCGCTGTATTTTAATTCGCTGCACTATGTCTATGTCGTTGTAAGCTCATACAGCTCATCGTTCCATCGTCTGCGGTACTCGCCGTCGCCAACGCGTAAAGGACCGTAAATCTTCCGCAAAATCTTTCTCTCAAACACCCCAAGAGCCGCGTCATCGGATGTTGTCATTGTCCATGCTTCTGCGCCATATACCAGCACGGGCATGATGAGTGACTTATAGAGCGTGGTTTTCGTACGTCGAGAGAGGACTTTACTCCTGAATTGCCTACTCAGTCCAAAGTAGCACTTGTTGGCAAGAGTGATTCTACGTTGGATTTCAATGCTGACATTATTATCGGTGTTAATGCTGGTTCCCAAGTAAACGAAATTCTCTACTTTCTCGAAATTGTAACTGTCAACAGTGACGTGGGTGCCAAGGCGCGAATGTGCTGACTGTTTGTTTGATGACAGGAGATACTTCGTCTTGTCCTCGTTTACCACCAGACCCATGCGCTTTGCTTCCCTATCCAACTTGGAAAAGGCAGAACAGACTTCGCGGTTTTTGTTACCGATGATGTCGATGTCATCGGCATAAGCCAAAGAAGGCTTACAGTCGAAAATATTTTAAAGGAGGGTTGCCACCTGTTAAAAAATTAAGCGCAATTTTATTGATAAACTAAATGATATATTACAAAATAGATATTAAATTCAAGAGTTTTAAAAAAGATAGCTGCTGGAAATATTTTTGAGTAAAGTTGCCACATCTTTGAAAATTTAAACTCAGTTATTTTGATAAAATAAATGAAATACGGTAATTTGGGTATCAAACTTTAGATTTTTAAGAAGGCTTATAGCCGAAAATATGCCTGAGGAGGGTTGCCACCTGTTTGAAAATTTAACTCAATATAATTGGTATCAAATTAAAGAGGTTGAGGAAAGAAAACTTTAGGAAATACTTTTGGGCACGATTGCCACCTATTTGAAAATTTTAACTCAGTTATATTGATTAAACAAATGAAATATTGCAATGTAGGTAACGAACTAAAGAGTTTTAAAAAGTCCTACAGTAGAAAGTTTCTGGAAGAGGGTTGCCACCTGTTTGAAAATTTATCTCAATTAAATTGGTAAAACAAATTAAATGTTCAATATCGGTACCAAACTAAAGGCATTTAAAAATCTTGATTTAGAAATCTATATTTATATATAAAAAAATGTTGTGTTCCTTTGTCACGGTCATCGAAACTCGAGAACCGCTGAACTGATTTGAATAATTTTTTTTTTGTATTGTTCGGTATCATAGCAGGATCATTTATATTACAAAAATAAATAAATAAAGTATTTCAATATTAAGGTTTACGGCCGAAAATATATTTGAGGGGGGTTGCCACCTGTTTGAAAATTGAACTAAATTTACATAATTGATAAAATAAATGACTTATTAAAATATAGGTATTAAACTAAGGAAGTTTAAGATAGATGACTGTTGGAAATATTTTTGAGGAGAGCTGCCACCTTTTTGAAAGTTTTAACTCGAAAGCTTAGTATATTGCACCAATGTATTTTCAATATAAAGCGATAAAATAAATAAACCAACTAAAAATTAGTCCCTTGTCAAATATGTTTGATTTATTATTATTTTTTTATGGATATGTACAAATGTAGAGCGGGTACGGACGATGTGTGGTGGCTGACGGCCGTTCCTGGTTGAATACGGGAAAATAAGTACTCGCGCTCTTTTCAATAGAATTGACTTCAACCTCAAAGCAGTAAAACTGTTTGGAGGGGAAGTTAAAAAATAGTTAATTTGGCGGGAAAAGTTTATGACAGTTTCTAATAAATACATATGTACATTAGAGTGGTCCAAAAAAATCAAGTCGGATTTTTAATGCCGGCACACCCTAGGATTGATCCATATCGAAAAAAAATAAACCCCTATTTTTTTATTTTGAAATCAAAAAATATTTAGGGAGTGCTCAAAGCGTTCAATGTTTTCCATGTATTTTATATGGAGAAAGAACAATTTTTCGTACAAATGGTATAAAACTCTTGAAAATCAATATTTTTCGACCGGAAAACTATGGTTCTCTTCAGGAGACTAATATCCAATTATTTATTTAGCCAATTTTTATGATTAAAGATTTTTTATTGGTCATCCCATTGCATTTTCTAAGGGCTTTGGAGGACCTATAAAATATAGTTACCATGAAAAATTGTTAAAGAAACAATTGAGTATTATTACCGGGAATCTGCTGAAGATAAGTAAAGTTTTCCGATCGAAAAATATTGATTTTCAAGAATTCTACACTATTTCTACGAAAAGATGTTTTTTTCCATATAAAATACATGGAAAACTTTGAGCGCTTTGAGCACTACCTAAATTATTTTTTATTTCAAAATAAAAAATATGGGTATATTTTTTTCGGTATATAACAATCCTAGGGGGTGGCGGCATTAAAAATCCGACCTTATTTTTTACATACATTTTTGGACCACTTTAGTGTACATGTATGCGTACATTTGTACCTATATTATTAAGCATTAGGGTGGACCGTTTTGGATTGATTA